AAATTCAGAATAAAAAATAAAATAAAAAAATTGAGCTTTCACTTTTAAAGGAACTCCAAGCACCATAACCACTACAGAGTGCTGTTGCAATTTCAGTGCCAGATATTCTAAATGCATGGACAGTACTAGCATAAAACCTTTAATAATTCAATAGTAAATATCTCAAATTTCTGTGTAGGAACCATTTTTTTAAATTATTTTGTATTAAACTAGAGCTGCCACCAAAGGAAATGTTTAAAAAAAAAAAAAAGCCTCTCTATCTTGCGCTAATTTTGTTGAAAGTGTTTTAAAAAGATGTATTTATAATACATTTGTGTCTGCCGTACGCAAGGTCCATTTTCATCATACGTTTAACAGCTTCGTCTTTCCTGATTTTTCCACTAATTATACAACAAAGTACATTTAAAATGCTGCAAAAATGAGCAACTAATGAAGTAGAGGTCAAGTGCTTAGTGTAAAAAATATTACGTTCTAAGCACAAGAGAGGGCTGATGCTTGTACAGAAGTGTTAATAGAAGTACCTGCTGAATCATTTGATACAAAATGACACTCTACATATACATAATTAATTTTTTAAGCTTTATGGATAAATGTAAAGTTTCTGGCCCACTTTAAACATATTAGTATGAAAGGAATTATGAAAGCAGGATGATATATACAGTGAGGGAATAAAGTATTTGATCCCCTGCTGATTTTGAACATTTGTCCACTGACAAAGAAATGATCAGTCTATAATTTTAATGGTAGGTGTATTTTACCAGTGAGGGACAGAATAACAAAAAAAAATCCAGAAAAACGCATGTCAAAAAAGTTATAAATTGATTTGCATGTCAATGAGTGAAATAAGTATTTGATCCCCCATCAATCAGCAAGATTTCTGGCTTCCAGGTGTCTTTCATACAGGTAACAAACTGAGATTAGGAGCACTCTCTTAATCTCAGCTCATTACCTGCATAAAAGACACATGTCCACAGAAGCAATCAATCAGATTCCAAGAACAAAGAGCTGTCCAAGGATGTCAGGGACAAGATTGTAGACCTACACAATGCTGGAGTGGGCTACAAGACAATCGCCAAGCAGCTTGGTGATAAGGTGAAAACTGTTTTTGTGATTATTCGCAAATGGAAGAAACACAAAATAACTGTCATTCTCCCTCAGTCTGGTGCTCCACGCAAGATCTCACCTCGTGGAGTTTCAATGATTATGAGATCGGTGAGGAATCAGCCCAGAACTACACGGGAGGATCCTGTTAATGATATCAAGGCAGCTAATACCATAGTCACCAAGAAAACAATTGGTAACACACTACACCATGAAGGACTGAAATCCTGCAGTGCCCGCAAGTTCTCCCAGAGAGTTCTCAAGAAAGCACATGTACAGGCCTGTCTGAAGTTTGCCATTGAACATATGAATGATTTAGAGAAGAACTAGGTGAAAGTGTTGTGGTCAGATGAGACCAAAATCTAGCTCTTTGGCATCAACTCAACTCACCATGTTTGGAGGTAGAGGAATGCTGCCTATGACCCCAAGAACACCATCAAACATGAAGGTGGAAACATTATGCTTTTGGTGTTTTTCTGCTAAGGGGACAGGACAACAGCACTGCATCAAAGGGACGATAGACGGGGCCATGTGCTGTCAAAGTTTGGTTGAGAACCTCCTTCCCTCAGCCAGAGCATTGAATGGTTTGTGGAAAAAATGGTTTGTGGATGGTTATTCCAGCATGACAATGACCCAAAACACACAGCCAAGGCAACAAAGGAGTGGCTCAAGAAGAAGCACATTAAAGGGACACTATAGTCACCTGAACAACTTCAGCTTAATGAGGTTGTTCAGGTGAGAACTATAGCTCCTTGCAGCCTTTCTCATGTAAACACTGTATTTTTTAAGAAAATACAGTGTTTACATTGAAAGCTAGGAACACCTCAAGTTGCAGTCACTCAGAGTGAACCAGAGGGACTTTGGAGTTGATGGAGGCATAATATGCCTCCATCCACTCAGATCTGCTGTGCACGAGCATCTTGTGATTCAGTGTCTCCTCCCTCTGCATGCAGACACTGAACTTTCCTCATATAGATTCATTGATTCAATTCATCTCTATGAGGAAATGCTGATTGGCCAGGGCTGTGTTTGAATCATGCTGGCTCTGCCCCTGATCTGCCTCTTTGTCAGTCTCAGCCAATCCTATGGGAAGTCTAACAGCATGCAGATTTACAGCTTCTGGCTTGAATACAGTAAGATTTTTACTTTATTTATGGTGGCATGAGGGGCCCAGGGGGGCTAGATGGTGGTATTAACACTATAGGATCAGGAATACATGTTTGTGTTCCTGACCCTATAGTGATCCTTTAAGGTTCTGGAGTGGCCTAGCCAGTCTCCAGACCTTAAAGGGATTCTCCAGTGCCAGGAAAACATATCCGTTTGCAGGACCTTCTAGTGCCCCTCTACCTCCCACCCCCATCCCAAGTTGCTGAAGGGGTTAAAACCCCACCAGTAGAGGAGGACTTAACCCTGCAAGGAAAATATTGCAGTTTATGAAAACAGCAATAATTACACTTGCAGGGTTAAGGGCAGTGGGAGTTGGCACCCAGACCACTCCAATGGGCAGAAGTGGTCTGGTTGCCTGGAGTGTCCCTTTAATCCCATTGAAAATCTGTGGAGGGAGCTAAAGGTTTCGAGTTGCCAAACGTCAGCCTTGAAACCTTAATGAGTTGGAGAGGATCTGCAAAGAGGACTGGGACAAAATCCCTCCTGAGATGTGTACAAACCTGTTAGCCAACTACAAGAAACGTCTGACCTCTGTGATTGCCAATAAGGGTTTTGCCACCAAGTACTTATTTCACTTATGGACATGCAAATCAATTTATAACTTTTTTGACATATGTTTTTCTAGATTATTTATTTTTGTTATTCGGTCTATCCCTGTTAAAATACACCTACCATTAAAATTATAGACTGATCATTTCTTTGTCAGTGGGCAAACATTCAAAATCAGCAGGGGATCTAATACTTTTTTCCCTCATTGAATGTGCAGCCTTGGGAATGTCTCTAAAATTACTGTTGACAAGATGTCAGTTAAATATTTTCAGACATTGCAGAAAAGAAGTGTGAACTACAGCCCCAATTTATTATTTAACTACATTGCTGCTAGACTCCCCTGAGTGCTGGGCTGGCAGAGAATTATGAGTAGTCCAGCATACTTTTGAGATGGCATCTTGATACACAGTTGCATAAAAAAAGAACAACAATGCTATAGGAACACTCTCAATATTGACTGTGTCTGCAATCAAGTAACTTCATTTATTTAAATGTATTTTAATATTGAGGTCCTATCCTGCCATTGAGGGTATATTTCCTGTTATCCCACTTGTTGGGACACCATTGAACTGTCCGAAAAAAGCATAGCATAAGAGACAGGTTCAACTATGTTATCTCACCTTTTCATGCCCCCTGTGGCCACCAGAGGCGATGTCACCATTGGTGGACTTTGAAAATTTGGCAAAGTGCCTACATGGTGACAGTGCTGCTGTCAGATCAAAATAGCCAATTTGAAAAAAAAATTCCTTTAAATCAGCTATGCTGACAGTTTCATTACTTTGGCCTTAAATTTGAAATTTACTTTGAATTCTAAATAATCCTATAAGTATTTGTTATGTATTTATGATTGTTGCATATAAAGTTACTAAAAAGTGAAAGTCTATTTTTAAACAGTTGGTCTGGTGCATAAATAATGAAGCAAAAAATATAGTTTTTTTTTATTTTTCTCATTAAAATACATTTAAAAAGACTAAAAATAACATGTTAGAAGCACTTTATAAATTCAGAAATGTACCTACTAGCACATGCAGTTAAATGAACACTTGTCAGAAATACAAACATGTGTTGCTGACACTATAGTGGTAAACTAACTATTTATCTCCCCAACCCCCTTCAGGTCTCGTTGACAACGTTTTAAACTTACCTTATCTTCCACGACGCTTCAGTCCCACCTCTTGATGATCTCAGCCAATCCAATGCTTTCCCATAGGAAAGCACTTGGAGGTCATTGCACATGTGTAAATGATGTGCTGTGCCAATCAGCATCTCCTCATAGAGATCCATGGAATCAATGCATCTCAATGGGGAATGTTCAGTGTCTCCATGCAGAGCGTGGAGATGCTGAACACTGCTGCACACTCATACATCTGCTAGAGGTGTTCCTAGGCAGCATATGAAAATGCAGGGTTTACATTGAAAAACCTTATTTCGACAGGTTATAGAGAGCAGAGCCACTACATTAAGCTGTGTAGTTCTGGTGACTACAGTGTCCCTTTAAGCAGGAACAACATCTCTTTGCCTATGTCTATAACTTTTAGCATACTTTAATTTTGTACTTTTATCTTAGTGCATGCTATGTTTATCTATGTAATGTAAACACATTTTTTTGCATGATTTAATATTGTCATTGCACCTTTTGGCATGTGTAAATCAGAAATCCATCTCATTGTAACCAATAAATAATACATCTACCACTTTTCTTGGCATCCATGTGTTTTTGTTAAAAATAGTTTCAGTTTCCTAACATTTACAAAGTTGTTGCACGAAACACAATGCATGTTTGTCCTTTAAAACAATCCATTATATATATCATGCTTGCCTATGCTATGTATATATGTCTGAGATTTTGTTGTTAAAACCATTGTATTCGTAGCTAAATATGTTTTAACTGTGTTCAATAAGCTGAAAATAAATATGTATTTTTTCTCTATTGTCTCAGTCTCATGTATGGAAAACTTAGTACTTTTGACTTTCGGTTCATGGCATACATTTTTCCAAACAATATTTAGTTTACAATGTAAAAGTTTTATACTCGAATGCATTTCTGTTGACTTTCTTTTTTAAATTAATAATATTTTGAGGTCCTCTACAGATAAAGTAAAAATAAGTTAGCCTTTATATTTTTAGGTAAACTAATAAAAAAAAAAGGGAAGCTATAGGGCAGGTGTCCTCAAACTGTGGCCCTCCAGATGTTGCTGAACTACAACTCCCATGATTCTCTGGGTATCTATGTAATTCAAAGAATCATGGGAGTTGTAGTTCAGCAACATCTGGAGGGCCACAGTTTGAGGACCCCTGCTACGGGGGAAGGAAAACCCAGTCCTTCTAGGGTTGATGTTGGATAGTTTGGTTATGATAAATCATAAACTTCAAAGATTGAATGGAACAAGTAGATTAGATTGATTGATTATGTCATTAGAATATGAGACAATTTATTGGCAAGGTGGGATGGAAATTTTCCCAGCCAGATAGAGCTGGTTACTTTCAAGAACCAATATAGCAGATTGTTGTGGTGAGTGACTATCTTCTTTAAGTGGGGTTTCAGAGAGATTTGAAAGCTTGGCAAAGTAGGGGAGAATCCGAGGTGAAGTTGTTATGGTGGTTGGAGTACCCATGAATTGTTCCTTTAACCCCTTAAGGACCAAACTTCTGGAATAAAAGGGAATCATGACATGTCACACATGTCATGTGTCCTTAAGGGGTTAAGGAGGAAGAGATTCTGGAGATGTGCTTATGTTAAAATATTGCCATTTTTCAAATGATTTACATAGTCTGAGAAAATGCAGCACAATCACTTCATTAAAATGAAGTGGTCTTGGTAAGCTTACAGTGACCATTTACTGATTTACCATTTGAATACCTAACCAGTGCTGACATTATTAAACACACCTTTTGTAAATGGTAATCAAGTTAAAGGAACACTATAGAGTCAGGAACACAAACATGTATTTGTGACCTTATAGTGTTAAAAACACTATCTACCCCACCTCTCCCCCGCCAAGCCTCTCTTTGCCCCTTTAAATATAGCAAATTCTTACTTGTATTCAAGTCTGCAGCTGCTGTCTATGCCCCTGATCAGCCTGCTGTCTGCTGACATCCTCAGAAGAGGTGATCTCAGCCAATCACAATTCTTCCACATAGGAGAGCATTGGATTGGCTGAGAATGTGAAAGAGGCAGAACTGGGGCAAAGCCAGCACAAGCCAAACGCAGCCCTAGTCAATCAGCATCACCTCATTGTGCAGCACTGCCTTTTGAAGCACTTCTAGCAGCCATCTGAGGAGTGGCCAGTGGAGACGTCCCTAGGCTGTAATGTAAGCACTGCATTTTCTCTGAAAACACAGTGTTTATTAAAAAACCTGAAGGGAATGAGTCCTGAGTCCCGTTAACGTTGTCTGGCAAACATTGTATTTGCCAGATTCTCTACCTGAGTGTGATTTGATTGTATTGGCTGTGTACCAGACCTTTACCAACATCTTCTCATCTAACAGAAATAAATAGATCAAATCCAGGGCTTACTGAATCAACCGCTAGCCATATGTAATAATTATAAAGTAATATATAGTGAAAACAGTAGCTGCGAGAGGCCAGGTACCTACTGATTCTGAATACACTGCACACTTCATGTTTGTCTTTTCTGATCTCATTGCATCACTATTTATCTCTTTCCCATAAAATTATTAGTTCTATAATAGTAAAGAACATTGAAACAAATCAAATCTCCTTTTTACGTCTGAACAAATCTTACTTTGCTTTCATGTCATTAATTCATTAATCATTTATACTTTCCATTTACTGTCAACTAATCCAATGTTGCAGATTCCTTTGATTTAAATTGATTTTAACTTTCCTTTTTTTTTGCCTCTGTCCTTTCCTCCCCTGTTAATAGCTTTTCTTTCCTGTTGCTGCAAGAATGACTCAGAAGTGTTTCTTTGAATCTAAAACAGAGGAGTCAAACAGTGCAGAGATGTCTTGCCAGATCACAGCCTCCACCAGTAACGGGGAAGTAGATGGCATGCACCAAAGTCTCCAGGCCATGATGAAGGGGTTTGGAAACATCTTTGATATGGATGTTGTAACACCGGTCTTGCATTCTGGGATGCAAATTAACATGCAAGCTAAGCAAAATTCTACCAAAACCACCTCGGTGAGGAAAGGAAAGAAAATTAACATGGCGGTGGGATTCAATGATTTTGGATGGTCGGATGACAGCAGTGAATGAAATTCAAGTTCAATAAAGAAGCGTCCATGCTTGTCTGTCTTTTTGGAACTAATACGAAACCACAAAGTCAATCTGTTTGGACTTTTTAAAAACTTGCCAATTGAACCATTTATGTATACACTTTTTTTTGGTCGGTGTTATGTGAAACAGTTTTGTTATATTTGTGATTTATTTTTTTCTTCCTTTTTTGAGTTGTTTTGTATTTGCTATTTTTTTTGGTGTATAACTTGAAACATTGTGCCATTTCTTAACAATTATAGGTTTTGTCATTGTTTGTTTGTGATGCCTGATTACAAAAAAAAAAAAAAGTATTTACACCTTGGTCAGAAATGTATTCATTTAACTAAACTTAAATGTTGTCTGAGAAAACGGCAATAATATTGTGTGTTAACTTGCACTATAAGCTCGTACATCGATCTGTGTTCATGTGGGGTTTTTTACACTAAACTTTATTATACAATGTACAAAATGCATCTCTGTGATGACAGATACTGACTAATGTTTATTAAAACCAATCATATAATTTGTCAAGGACTATTGTATTAAGAAACATAAATCCCATTTTATTTATAGTAAAAAAAAAAGACCATTGCATTTCAATTGTGTTAATTAATATGATATGCCCTGCACAATAACGTCAGGCTAGATATAGAATGACATAATCCTGCCAAAGTTTTTTTTTAATTATTGAATAAACATGCAATTAAAACAGAATAGCATTGTGCTAAATATCTTGAAATCTTGCTGGCGCCGCAACCTCAGGAAATAATTTGACCACGTGCTTCTGCGTATGGTACCTTGGATTTCAGATTCCCTTACAATTACATTTAAAATTTCCCTTATTGTTTTATAAGCATTATGTAACTAATGTTTTAAGAAATGCAAAAAACGTTCCAAGATCATGAAGCTGCACAGTTTAAATAAATTGCTTCAGCAGACTTCTCCCTTCCCAGGAAACAGCTCCACCAATCAGCAGCCTCTCATCCTGGTCTGTGGGTTCTGATCATCTGATCTTGTTCCATAAACACCTGTCCTGCAGGAGATTGGGAAATAAGTCGTTTATCCCCTAGTTCGCCCCTGATCTCACAGGATGAGAGGAATATCTTTATGTTTAGTTTTGTCAACAGGGAGCAGTATCCCCTGCATTTCTGTCACTCTATACAGAGAGAGATCCTTCTCTTTTCTTCATGTGGCATGCATTACTATTCAAAATGGGGCAACAACCTACTTTTTAACGAGCCTCTATCTTTCCTACCAACCTAGTATCTCAGATCTCTCTAACGTGTCCGTTTTCCAGGCTCCATAGTTCTGATGGCTCCCGTTACCTGTCGACAAACAGTGAAAAAAAGTTTTTGCTTTCTCTTAAATTGTACAGCCTTAATAAACATTGATAAATTGACATAATTGTACTGATCACCCCTGTCTGCTACTTAAATTCTTGGTTATTGACCAGCCTAAATACCGCCTCATTTCTGCTTCCTCTCTAGCTAGATAAATCATGTACAATGTGGTCATAGTGCATTCTTGTTAGGAATAGAATGTGCGGAAAGGGATATAAACCCCACACATTGTACACTGTACACCATAAACTTCATAATGTCATATACAGCTGTATTGTTGCAGAACAAATGTACCTCTACAGATACAGATTGAGGAACAAGAAGAAAGGATACACAAAGAGAGTATAGGGGGGGATGGGAATTTATATTTTTTTGAAGAAAAATGATACAAATACAATAAATGCGTTAAATATAAAGTAATAATTGGCCTACACATTGCCCATGCGTGGCCCATTATTTAGTCACCTGACTACCTCCAAGATATCATCTATTTTATTTCAATATTTTATTCTGGTAAACAGTTCCAGTAAGGTTATTGAAGACTGGATAGATCCAGGATTTATAATAAGCTAAACAATGTACTTAGATAGAACAGTGGCTCCAAAACCAGTCTCCATGCACTCTAAAGTTCCTTATTTGATCAATATCTCAACTAAAATGGACTTGGCAAATTCATCCATTCTAAACCATTTAAGATGGAAATGGACTAGTTAGTGACACAGCAATTAGTGAAGGGCTATATCTTAGGTATAACTATACTCATATGGCATTTTCAGGCATAGATAGGGCAATGTCAGTTGTCCAAATACGTATCCTTTTTTGATTCTGTCCTATACTATCATCATAAACAAATCAAGAAAAATTGCTTGGATTGACTGCCAGTCTCCATGTTTGTCCCATAATTGCTGAGCCGCCACCAGATGGAATCGCCATTGTCCAAGAGTGGCGTGCAGCGCTGCCCAGTTCCCACCATCTGTACAACCCGCCCAAAGTGAGTAGAAGTGGAGAGTTCCTGTCCAATTAATATAAAGGTCCAAATGTATTATTACTATAATAATAGCTAAGGTAATTGATATGCAGGTACTTATATACAACATAAAACATTCTTCTGCTATTCCAGGTCCAGCTTATGTCTAGAAGTATTGGTTGACTCTTCTCTACCTTTGTAGTGAATGCTGAAAGGTTCACCTAAATGGTTTAGTCAAATTAAATAAAACATTACACATATCACAATAGTTCTATGCCATAGAATTCTCTAGGTTTGCTTTTACAGACTGTCCTCCGAATCACTGCCCAAGACCACTCTTCCAGTATTCGTATCTGATTTAATTTTGACATTGCTTGACAGACGCCTAGAAAAGTTCTGTACTTTCACTCAAATTCATCACCTGTTCAAAATTATTATAATATTATTCTTCTAGGGGGAGGGATCTGTTACCCAACAGATTTTGCAGATTCCCCAAGCACACTCTCACACAGGAAAAGAGATCTCCTACCTTCTAATGGCAATAACCAAATAACACAGTGTATGTGCAAAGGGATATACTACTATTTGTATTGTGATCTGCAACTCTGTATATGTGAGCAAAGGTATAAATGTATAATTAGTGATGTCCCGAACAAGTGTACTGCATTTTCAGTACATTTAGACCTAAAAAAAGGAGGTGGGAGGGTCTGGGAAGGAGGGTCTGCTGCTGATTGGCTGGAATGTGTCTG